TCGTGGTGTCAGTAGATTGTTTTAGAACAGTTTTAGACTTAAGAAAATGTAAATATATAGAGTCCCCTGCCTCCAGCCATTTTCCCTATTATTAACATCTTACATTAATACCATATGTTTGTTACAACTGATGAACCAGTGATGGTGGGTTATCGTTCAAAAAAGTCTATAGTTGACTCAGATTTCTTTAGTTTTTACCTAATGTCCTTTTTCTGTTCCAGAACGCCACCCAGGATACTACGTTACATTTAGTTGTCATGTTTCCTTAGGTTCCTCTTGGTTGCGACATTTTCTCTGACTCTTCTTGTTTTTGACAATGTTATCAGTCTTGAGTGCAGTCAGGTATATTGTAGGATGCCCCTCTACTGGAATTTGTCTGATGTTTTTCTCATGACTAGACTGGGGTTATAGATTTGGGGGAGGAAAACCACAGAAGTCAAGTGCCATTCCATCTCATCATATCAAGGGCACACACCACCAACAGGATTTATGACTGTTGATATGGACCTTGCTCACTTGACAGAGGTGGTGTTGGTCGGGCTTCTGCACTGTAAAGTTATTCTTTCCCCCTTTCCATGTCCCAGTCTTTGGAAGGAAGTCACTATGGGCAGCCACAGATAAGAGTTATTTATGCTCCCCTCCTTTAGAGTACCTACCTTAATCTGTTAGAATTCTTCTGCATAGGAGAATTCTTTCCCCTCTCCCCCAGCCCTTTATTAATTTATTCAGTCATTTCTATGTATCAGAATGGACTCATGGATATTTACTTTACACTTTGGATTATCCAATACTACTTAGTTTTGTTATTAAATTTTTCCAGCTTTGACCATTGGGAACTCTTTCAGTTGGCTCCTATGTCCCTTTGACATTTGTGTGTGTTTGTGTGTGTGTTTCTTTTTTTGAACAGTTCTTTACTTTTTTTTTAAAAGATTTTATTCATTTATTTGAGAGAGAGAGAATGAGAGACAGCATCACAGGGAGGAGGGTCAGAGGGAGAAGCAGACTCCCCGCCGAGCAGGGAGCCCGATGCGGGACTTGATCCCGGGACTCCAGGATCATGACCTGAGCCGAAGGCAGTCGCTTAACCAACTGAGCCACCCAGGCGCCCCAACAGTTCTTTACTTTTTGGCACTACAAGATGTTCCAGGCTCAGCTTGTCTATGTCCTGCCCCAGTCATAGAAGCAGCCATTTCTTTTTTTTTTTTTACTTTTATTTATTTATTTATTTAATTTATTTATTTAAATTTTATTTTATTATGTTATGTTAGTCACCATACATTACATCATTAGTTTTTGATGTAGTGTTCCATGATTCATTGTTTGCGTATAACACCCAGTGCTCCATGCAGTACGTGCCCTCTTTAATACCCACCACCAGGCTAACCCATCCCCCACTCCACTCCCCTCTAAACCCCTCAGTTTGTTTCTCAGAGTCCATCGTCTCTCATGGTTCGTCTCCCCCTCCGATTTCCTCCCCTTCATTTTTTCCCTTCCTACTATCTTCTTCTTCTTCTTTTTTAACATATAATGTATTATTTGTTTCAGGGGTACAGGTCTGTGATTCATCAGTCTTACACAATTCACAGCACTCACCATAGCACATACCCTCCCCAATGTCCATCACCCAGCCACCCCATCCCTCCCACTCCCCTCCTCCACTCCAGCAACGCTCAGTTTGTTTCCTGAGATTAAGAATTCCTCATATCAGTGAGATCATATGATACTTGTCTTTCTCTGATTGACTTATTTTGTCCAGCATAATACCCTCTAGTTCCATCCACGTCATTGCAAATGGCAAGATTTTTTTTTTGATGGCTGCATAATATTCCATTGTATATATATACACCACATCTTCTTTATCCATTCATCTGTTGATGGACGTCTGGGCTCTTTCCACAGTTTGACTATTGTGGACATTGAGAAGCAGCCATTGCTTGATGCAACCCTAGCTCCTTGTGATAGGGGATGGTGTTAGAAACCAAGGTTTGGGTATTAGGTGTGCTTGTTGCTATGGGGGTGACGCTGCTTCTAGGCTCTCTCAGCTGACAGAGCTATGTGTATACTAACCATGTCTATATACATATCTATGGATATTTTAATATGTAACTATCTGTATCTATATTAAGTGAGAATTCTTAGGGATGTCTTCCTCACCACATGGTTCATTCTAGCTGCCTCCCATCCCCTTCATTCCTGAAGGGTATTTTCACTGGATGTAAGATTCTGATGGGCAGCTCTTTTCTTTCAGCACTTAAATGCTGTGCTTTTCTTCTGGCTTCCATGATTCTGATGAGTAATCTGCTGTTTTTAGAATTGTGTTTCCCTAGAAGAAGGTGTCATTTCTCTCTTGGTTCTCTCAAGAGTTTCTCTCAAGCTGCCAAAGCTTTCAGACTCAGCATCCAGGTAATCCCCTTTAATGAAGTTTTCTGGTGATGTTACTGTCTTATCTATAACTCCCTACCCCATCTGGTCAATTTCTGTCTTCCGAATTCCCAAAGCACTGCAGTTTTCTTCTTTACTGTACTTCTTCACTGTACTTGTCTTGTTTGCTAATAATGTGACCATGTGTCTTAGGTGGTTCACAGAGATTGCACCTTTGTATCCCCATAGCACCCAAGTATTTAATAAGGGTGCAAAAAAAGTTTGTTATGTGGATGAAGGTAATAATAGAACTGGTGTAAAATTCTCAGGTTTTTAAAAAGTAATTTTTAATGACATAACTAGACGTGAAAATATTCTCCTAAAAATAAAGGAACTTTACAGACAAAGCTAGAGTTTCCTGTGATCATTTCCTTAATTCTGATCCCCCCCCTTAAGGATTTGGTGTTTGTCCTACCAAAATATAAAAATCTATTTCTACATCCATAATAGTGTGAATGTAAATTATATTGTGTTTTGTATGTTTGTGTATTTTTAGATAGATGGAATTGCCCTGTACATATTCTCTTTCAATTTGCTTTTTGTTCACACAACAAAAGGAGAACGCTCTTTTTAAATTATGTATCTCATGTATTCCTTTTAGCTGATAGATAGCATTTCATTGTATGACCATACTTCATTTAAGTATCCACTTTACCAAGGATGGACATTTTGTTGTTTCTAGTTATTCGTTATTATAAACAATGCTGCAATAACCATAGGGAATGCCCCTGTATGCACATGTGTAAAGGTCTCTGGATCATGGGGCATAGTATTTTCAGTTTTGGAAGACACTGCCAAATTATCCTGAAAAGAGGTTCACCAAATTTATACTCCCACATATGGGGTATGAGAACACTTGTATTTATGCCATTTTGCCATCACTCAGTGTAATGAAAAATTCGTGTTTTTTTTTTTTTTTTTGTCATCAGGTAGGTAAAACCAGGTGTCTTATTTTTGTTTTAATTGCATTTCCCAACTAGTGATATTTTTTCTTATGATCATTAGACATTTGGGTTTTTTTTTTCCCCCCTGTGGGTTGTCTGTCCTATCCCTTAGCCCACATTTCTGGTATTGTCTTTTTCTTAGTGATTTGTAGGAGCTTAAAACAATATATTAAGGATAATAGTCTTTTTGTCCGTGATAAGAATTACAAATATTTTCTTCCAGTCAGCTGCATTGTTTATGGAGTCTTTTCACATATAAAAGCTTTACACTCAGAAATGAACAAACTTATCAACGTTTTCTTTTTTTGTTTTGTTTTGTTTTGTTTTTAGAGAGAGAGAGTGCAAGTAGGAAGGGGAAGGGCAGGGGGAGAAGAGAGACAGAATCTAAAACAGGCTCCATGCTCAGCACAGAGCCCAACTCGGGGCTTGATCCCATGACCACGAGATCATGACCTGAGCTGAAACCAAGAGTCGGACACATAACCGACTGAGCCACCCAGGCATCCCATCAGTTTTGTGCTTTTTATAACCTATTTAAGAATATGCATTTCTATCCCAAGTCATAAAGCTAGTATTCTATGTTTTTTAAATAATTCTTAAACTTCTTTTTTATATCTTTAGATCTTCAGTGGACTTGTCGTATGAGGCAGGGATGTGGGTTTACACTTATTTCTCATTGTCGGCTGGTCATCCCAATATTACTTGCTGCATGACCCACCCTTTCCCCACTGATTTGAAATGTCATCAAATGATTATTGCCGGGGAATAAGAGGGCTATTTGTTTTTGAATATTGGTTTATACTTGGCTACATTGCAAACTCTTTTATTCATTTCAATTATTTGTCAGTTATTTTTCTTGGGTTTTCCGGGTAGAAGATCATATTACTTGCAAAGTTAGATAGCCTTGTTTCTTTACCGTCAATGTACCTGTTGTTTCTTTTTCTCTTTTCTTATTGTATTAGTATAGCTACTGGCACAGTGTTGAGTAAAGCAGTGACGGGAGGATCATAGCCTTGTTTCTGACTTTAATGGGAATGCTTCTGAAGTTTCTAATAAGTACGCTATTTGTTTTTGGTTTCTGGTGGATACCTTTGATCAGGTTAAAGAAATTCCCTTCTATATCTAGTTCATAACTGTTTTATTATGAATGAATATTGAATTTTATCAAATGCTTTTTCTGGATCTATTGGAGATTATCATAGGGTTTTTCTCCTTTTATCTGTTAATATATTAATTACATTAATATTTCTAATATTTTCCTTGTATCTTGGGGACAGTCTTTTTTTAAAAGATTTTATTAATTTATTTGACAGAGAGAGACACAGCAAGAGAAGGAACACAAGCAGGGGAACTGGAAGAGGGAGAAGCAGGCTTCCCGCCAAGCAGGGAGCCCAATGTGGGACTCGATCCCAGGACCCTGGGATCATGACCTGAGCCGAAGGCAGATGCTTAACGACTGAGCCACCCAGGCGCCCCTCTTGGGGACAGTCTTTACCTTGTTGTATTAGTCAGCTTAAGCTAAATTCTGCTCTGGTATCAAACAATCCCCAAATCTTAGTGAATTACAACAGAAGTTTATTTATTGCTCATGTCATGTGAGCACTAAGGATTGATTTCATGTCTTCTTAATTCTAGGACCCACGTTGATGGAGCATCTCATGGTAGATGGAAAAGAGAGATACTGGAACATCTTAACATTTCTACTCAGGAGTGGCATATGTTACTTCGATTCACATTTCATTGGCCAAAGCCAATCAGTGGCTAAGTTTGATGTCGGTGAATAGGCATAGAATCCTCCTGCAGAAAAGTGCCCAGCAAGTTGGGCAGCAGATGTTGTCATAATTATAATACAATCTATCACACTGGTCATGACATAGTATTGCTTTAATATGTTGCTGGATTTCATGCACAAATATTTGTTTAGGCTTTTGTATCTATGTTCACAAGTGACCTAAGATTTTTTTTGTCTTGGGCTTTCCAGGGCTTTTTTTCTTCCCCTCTTGGGCTTTTAAAATAATTTGGGTAGCTTTGCATCTTTTTACTATATACATTGGAAAAGTATGAATAGAATGTTAATTATCTGTTTTCTGGAGTTTTAAAGAACTTACTTGCAAAACTGGTTGGACTTGGTTTTTTGGAAGTAGAACTTTGCAGTCAAAGTTTTAATTTCTTTTATGGTTAACTTTCTTTTATGGTTAATTTCTTTTATGGTTAACTTTCTGTGAACGTTTTCTACTTTTTGGGGGTTGATGCAATATTGGCGATTTATATTTTCTTAGAAAATTGGCCTTTTCGTGATGGTTTAAACATTTACTGCTTAAAAATTGTTCACAGTGTTCTCTGTGACTTTAGTCGTACGCCCCTTTTGCTTCAGATTTGTTCTTTTTCATTGTGTTTACGTTGACTGGGCTTTTTAAAAAGGTACTGTTTTAAGAGAAACATTCATTCATGCTTGGAAATATCTGCCTCTTGCCTTTATGCCTGAATGATACCCTGTTTAGCTTCAAAAACCACAGTCTCTCTTTATCACTCTTTCTGTTCTTCAAAGCACATGTACAACAGGGCATCATTTGCTTCTCACAAAAAATGTGAGCTGGGCCCCAGTGACAGACCAGGAAACCTAGTGCTAGGGATGGTGGGGTCCTTGTTCTAGGCCAGAGGAGTGGGTGTTCCAGTCTGGACCAGTGTTTGTTCTAGCTCAGGGCAAGAACTAGATTGGTGTTGCTACTTGTGGTAGATGATGACAGTGACCTTGGGTTCTTCCCTTCTCCCCATGACCCCAGGCTTTGCCATGTGACCTTGCCCTCCTGCCCCAGAAGAGGTTACTATGGGCTGAATTGGGTCCCCCACAAATTCATATGTTCATGTCCTAACCCAGCTACTTGTGATGGATTGGAAGATTAATCAGCAAATATCCAATCACTCTCCTTTCCCTCTGGGAGCAGTTTAGTTTCCTGCCCCAGTCACGTTAGGCTTGGCCCTCTGGCTTGTTTCACCCAATGGAATGTGAACAAACATGATGTGATATGAGCAGAAGTTTTAAATATGCTTGTACAGCTGGGCTTTGCTTCTCATGTACTTGCCATTTGTCATGAGAAGAACGCGCCCCCGATAGCTGATGTTTCCAGGAGGCTCTGGAGGAAAGGGGAACAGATCCGAACCCATGGAAGCCTGGAACAAACTTAGGACCTGCAGACAGACACATAAGCAAGAAAAACAAAACGCTTGCTCTTGTAACCTGTGCATTTAGGGGTGGCTTTTTTGCAATATTATCGTGGCAATAGCTGACTGATCCGCCTCTCTTTGGGGAGTTGCTCAGTCCAAGAGGGTTATTTCTAGGCACTGGTGACAGGATGAGCAATGGGCCCATAGATGAGGAAGCCACCCAGGGTATAAGGGTGGCTCAATCCTGCCAATGGGCCTGGCAGGAATGGGCTAAGGGATTCAGTTCCCTGGAGGATGCATTCCATGGCTTGACTCTGGCTCAGAGAGCTGGAGACAGAAGCCACTGGGCATTCTTTTAGTTCTGTTTTATCAGTCTGAGGAAAGGTCTTCTACCCCCCAACTACCCAGTTCTCAGCTCATGAGGAAGAACTTCGTTCTAAAAATTCAGAGCTGCTGGCTACTCTTCTATCAAACGGAACATCTGAGAACCTCTACCGTCCTATTCTGCTCTCAGGTCCCTTCTGAGCCCAGACCCATAAGCCTGGACAGTCCAGTGGGCATGAAGTCTTTGCTGAAGTTAGAAAGTTCCTGCAGGGAATCAGGAGGATGGGGGCATCATTACTGTGTCCTCAGCTACTCAGAAAGCAGTCCTTGGGCAGTGGAGCAGGGACTGGAAGTTAGATAGTTGGGTGGGCTCTTCTTGGGGTTATGGCTGGGGAGTGGGGAGATATGCAGTGAAGAGGGTAGAGCTTTTCCTTACCAACTCCCAGCCGGTGGTGCCTTTGTTGTGGAGGGCAAAGCTCGGGCAAGGGCCCCTGAGTCTCTTTTCCTCAGCTGAACTTCCTCAGCTCTGGAGTCCCCACTGTTTCCAAATGGTTGGCTGATACCCTTACTTTTCAGACCTGTTTTGAATTTCTATCCTCTTTTTAGGTCTTTGTTGATGTTTTAAGGGGAAGGGGTCTTATAAAGGGCTTGACAGGATGGCATCTTAAGTCGGAAGTCTCTGTCCTTGATTTAAAAAAGGCTTTCCTACACCAACCGTGTGTATGAATTTCAGTAGTAAAGTCAGGAGAAAATTTGTATGTGGACAACCACAGAATTTGTAGTATGGAGATAGTGCTGGGGTTGGAAATGCGGATTTGGGACATGGGCATTCCTATGGATGGCGACATGGAAAGAAAGGAAACCCGAGAATAGATCTTTAGGACATACCTGTATGTAGGGGGAGACAAAAGAGGCACAGGAAAAAGAAAAACATTCCTGAGTTGTTAGGGGCTCCTAACAAGGCAGGCAGGTCTAGATGGTAGCTTGAGAATGCTGAGTGTGGGGATTGGCATGTGGAAATGCCATCTGCAAAATCTTCTAGACTCTACCTCTTTTCATCATTCATTTCCATCCCTGTGGCCAGTGGCCCAAACACCACCATCTCTTGCCTGGACCATTGCAGTCATCTCTCTCTCTAACTGGCCTCCTGCTTCTGCTCTGGTCCCTCTTTCTCTTTATTAGCCCAACACAACAGCCGGAGTGATCTGTTCCCCCCAAGTCCGTTCCTGTCTCTTCTTTGTTCAAGCCTGCCGAAGGCCCCATCTGACTCACCTTGCCCCACCTGGAAAGCCAGGGTCCTGCTGTGATTTACACAACCCTGTGTACTTCGGCCCTCATCACCTCCTGCAGCTGGCCCCTTCAGCGCCTGCTCCCCTCTTTTGCCTGATAGGCTCTGCCTACTCGGTCCTCCTCGCTAATCTTCAAACACACCAGGCCTCCTCCTAAGTTGGGACTTTTGCACCTGCTCCTCCCTCTGCCTGGAATGCTCTTTCCCAGAGATCAGCACGGCTCACTCCTTTACCCTCTTCAGGCCTTTCTCCTACATCACCTTCTCTCTGAGGACCTCTCTGGGTACTTAATCTCAAAGTGCAATCTCCCCCCTCCCCAACACTTCTATTGCCTTTCCCTGTTATATTTCTTTTGCTTGTCACCATCTACTGTACATTTTGTTTATGTCGTTTAGTACCCATCACTCCTGTCTCTTCTGAAATGAGGACTCTGTGGAGGCAGAGATTTTTTTCTTTTGTCCACTGATGCCTCCCCATCTCCTGGGCACGTAAGTAGATGCTCAGTAAATATTATCAAATGCATGCACTGTTCAACGACCATCATGTGGCCATTTGTTATTGGCTAGTGGGGACTAGCTGGTTGAAAGGCATCAGAGGGCACCTGGGCCCCCACCTGTGCAGTTCACATCTGGGGTTGGAGGAACACCAGCTGCCAAATCTGCAAGAGGACCAGGCATTTGACGCTTGTTGGCTTGCCCTAGCTGTTCCCCGAGAGCTGAGACATAAAAGCTGTCAAGACTGGTTTCTGAGGGTTCCAGTCTGAAATGGGTCCATGATGGATGAAACCGGAGACAGGCAAAGTGAACTTAAAGGCACAGAGAGGGACAGAAGGCTGGGACTGAAGCCTGAGTCATTTGGATGGGTGGGCGTATCATGGGAACAGAGGCAGGATGCGCAAAGAGGGGAAGATGCGGACTAGGGATGGAGCCCTATGCCTGGTGCACTCAATCAACAACTCTTCCTATTAATGTCTCTGCTCAGCCTCTGAACTCACTAAGGGACTTTCAGACGGTTTGGCTTCCCATCAAGTTCGTTTGTCATCATGAAGATATTGGCTTGTGTATATAGTTAGGCTCCACTTCCCATTAAAAATTAGTACATTGGTCTTGGGCTTGTGCACTTCACATCCTAGTGAGTTAGGCTGTCTGTGTCAGCTTATATGAGACTGGTAACTGTGGAATCCTGACCAGACCCATTTTCTAGACTTGTAATATCAAGGACCGCACCTTGGCTGGGGGCGAGTTCATGGAGCAAATAATACCTCCTTGAGCCTTTTGAGACATAGCCAGTGCCAATATTTCCTGGATTCTCTTTCAAAATCCTATACATCTGGTCAGTCTGGGAAGATGTCCTCAGGGCTGAGGGCTTCCAGAAAAAGCCCTTTGCATCAGGTTCCTAGTTAGAGGGGGGACTCTGTTTCTGAGAACTGCCTGCTCCGTAGCCATTCCTTCCTTCTTCCTACTGCCACATCCCGATTGTGTTCAGGATAGCAGTGTGCCCAATGAGAGGCAGTGATCCTCGTTGCCCTAAAGCAAGGGTTGACAAACTTTTCCTGTAAAGGGCAAGATAGTAAAATTTAGGCTTTGTGAGCCAAGAGGAAACCTCCGTATAATTCTCCCACTGTGACACAATCTTTTGACTTCCTCCCCCCCCATCCTGCCCCAACCATTTAAAAATGTAAAACTCATTCTTAGTTTGTGGGTTGCACAAAATCAGGTGGTGGGCTGACCGCAGACCTCGGCCCCCAAGCACCCAACCTTTGAGGTTAGCAGTCTCCCTTGCAGGTCACGGGATAAAAGCAGACCTTTCTCCTTCACCACCCCCCTCTGTTTTGAATAAGAATGGATTATGGAAACATTGATCATGATTAGGCAACAAACAGGATACAAGTCAACACACCAGAGATTAGAATGCAAAGACCTGCAAAGGACAATGCTAGCAGCCTCCCACCTTGTAACTTGTCAAGTGAGAAAAATACTGCCCCACGTTTAAGCAGCTGTCAATCAGCGTCCTTATTACTTGCAGTTGCATTCTTAACCTTTCCAGCATGCTGGAGATGCCCATGGCTGTCTGCCTCTGCCTGATCTGGGAGCATCACTCCAACCGTGGACATTGGTCCCCGGACAGCTGTGTTTTGTACCACGTGATCTGACCCACCTCCATCTGCCATGTGGCTTGGCTCAAGAGATCAGTGGGACCAATCTGGGTCACTCATAGGAGTGGGAATGGGGACCCCTTCTTCGGATTTGGCAGGATGGAAAGAGGTAGACACACACGGTATGGTGGAGTTGAGTGAATGGTGAGGCCCTGGAGGGCCGGTCCACAGACCTCACAGGGGAGGGCCCTGCAACTAACTGCCTCCGATGCATCCCTCCCTTCCGCTCGGGAGCTCAGGCTGTCGAGGCCCCAGCTCCTGGATTTCTTCTTGATTCTAAATGCATCCTGCCATTCCTGCTTAGTTCTTCCCCAGACCAGAGCAGTTTGAGAATGTAGGCTGGGGTCCTGTTCAGCATGCCTTTTGTTTCCTTGCTCCTGCCAGGGTGTGGCTGGGGAAAGGAAGAAACCCAGCTCCGAATGGTGGGAGAGTCCGGGGCAGCCCCCCTGCCCGAAGGCCCCACCTCCAGCACCACCTGGGTCTGCAGGGCTCCCCAGAGATCTGTTCTGAGCAGAGCCTGTGGACCTGTTTAGCCCTGACAAGCATCTGGTTTTGTGCTTCGCTGGAGCCACAAGAAGTAGAAGGAAAAAAAAAAAAAGGAAATTCTTTCCAAGTGGCCGGTGAACATGTAACTCCCCGGGGGTGCAACAGGATGGAAATAGAAACAGGGTCAGGAGGGCACTGAGGAGTCGGGGCTCTGACAGGTCACTGAAAGGAGGGCGACTGAGGTCCCAAACCTTTTGCCAGGACCTGTCAGCGCCTGGAGCAGGAGGGATTAAGGGCTTGGGGTGGGGCTCCAGGTGGAGGGTTGGGTGGGCTGCAAGACCCATAGAGCAGGTGTTCTGTAGAATTCTCAGGCACAGCTTGCTCTCTGGCTGGGGGAGGACCAGGCTCCAGCCTTGTGAGGGCTGGTGGAACCAGTGGGGGTGCGGGTCTTGCAAAGACAGTGATGTTGAGCATTAGGTGGGCAGTGGGGCAGTGTCCCAGGGAAGGGTCAGTGGGCCAACTCCATCAATCCAGGATTTAATGAACACTCACACGCAGCCCTGAGCAGCTCTGGGGACAGGGAGCCCTCTCCCCGTACATAGGTATGGATTCTATCAGTGGGCTCTAGGCCAGGATGATCTTGGTATGAGCCACCAGTGAGGCCGAGGGACACTTGGGGTTTAGTTTTGAGCAGGGGATCTAGGAAGATCTTGGGAAGATGAAGGAGGGGGGAAGGTGGGTAGTCTCAGGGCTTCCGGGAGCTTATGGCCCCAGCACCAGTGGCCTCGTCATGCCCACATGGAGTTGAGGAGATGGCCTTGCGGGAAGCTAGTGGGCTTGTATTTGGGGTGCTTGGGAACCACCAAAGGGGAGGGTGAACACACATCTGGAGTTACGGACAAACCCTTGGGAGCCATTTATGTACAAGTGGTCATTGAGATGATTTGGAGTGGATGGGATCATGTGGAGAGTTGAGAAAAGGGAGAGGAAAACCTTGGGGGACATATAAGGGCAGAGAGAGGCGCCCGCCTGCACAGGAGGCAGAGAGAGAGAGAGTAGTCAGGGGACCAGAAGAGATCCCAGGGGCGTGGCTTGGGCAGGGAGAGGAACACTGCAGCCACCAGCGTGGACTGTGGCAGAGACAAAGGAGATTGAGGAAATGGGACGTCCCAGGTGACTTGCAAAAGCAGCTCTGGGGGCTGGGGACAGAGGTCCCTGAAAGAGTGTGGGAAGCAAGGTAAGATGGGTGGCAAGAGCCCAGCTCAAGAGGAGGGCGGGCAGACTGGACTGGGGCCTGGAGCGGGCAGCAGGAAGGAAGCTTTCTACAGTGGTGAGGGGCAAAGGGCTCAGGCAAATGCCAGTGTTCTTGGAGGCTCGTTCTGTCCCTGTCCCATCTCACAGGGCCATCCCCTTCCCACTCACAAACTCCCTCAAGGCCTCACCCCATTCCTTGAAGATCGTGTAAAGGAACACTTATTCCCATTTTGATGCGTGCTGAGAGAGTCTTCCCACTCTCCTGGTCACCCTGCCATGTCATAGGCCTTCGTGGAGATAAGGGCTTCATTTTCTGTATGTACCTCAGAGATAATATCTCTGATCAGATGTGTGGACTGGGGTGCCTGAGGACTCAGGAAATGATGCAGTGAATGCACTTCTTCCAGATGTCCCAAAATCACTTGCAAGAGGCTCCCTCCTCTAGAAGGGCTCTTGCTAGTCCCTCCATCCCTCTGGGCCATTCTACGACACTTTGGCACGTCCTGACACCAGGTCAGCAACTCAGTGCTTTATTGATGATTAGAACTGGGTCCCTGGAGGGTCCCTGTGGCACAGCCTCTCTGGGGGCTCTGTAGCTCTCCCTGATCTCCTGAAGGCTTGGTATGGGGGTACAGGAAGAGACAGCTGTGTGCAGAGGGCCCTGTGCCCGGGAGATGGGGGCTGAGGCTTGAACAGCAGATACATCTTGCAGATTAATCATTGCGCCTAGAGAAAGTACTGGGCAAGCTGCCAGCCCTACCTGCCTGCACACCTACTGGGTTATCCAGGGCAGGTAGGGCCCCTAAAATCCCCCTTACGAAGGTTCCCTCCCCAACCTGCTCCCTTGTCCTCACTGTTGACCTCCTGTGGGCTCAACTGCCCTGGCACATGGGAGCCCACGTTCGCCTGCTCAGAGACCCTCCCCTGCTATTGGAACCCCTGCCCAGGAGCCCAATGTTCAATTCTCCAACAAGGGGGTCAGCCCCTTCGCTGACCCCTGATTTGAGGGATGGCCCCCACCTCTGTGAGAAGATAACAAGGACTGTCCCCAGCTTTAGGGTGGCCAATGTGCTGTAAAGTGGGCCCTCTCTGGGGTGTGCATTATGTTCCCAGCACCTGCCTTAAACTGCCCTTCCTGTGCCTGGGCGGGGGGGGGGGGGGGGGGGGGGGGGAGGAATGCCAGGCCTGAAAGTCTAGAATCTGCTGCAGACCCACAGTATGAAATGTCTGCTCTTGGCTATCTTTTTACCTTATAAAATTGGGGTGAGAGGTCTAAATTGGGGTGAGAGGTCTAAAATTGGGGTGACTTTTCAAACAGATGACTTCCTCAGTACAGGATGGAAACTTCCGGTTCAAACTACTGGTCCATGTTGGCCCCAGCAACTGGCTCTTCCAGTATTAGAACATTCCCACTCCAGACACCCTGGGGAATCGCCTAACCAGCTTTCCACTGGACCACAGTCACCACCCCCACTCTGGTTGTATGTATGTGGTTGATATTATCCAGCTGAAGACTGAACTACCTGCAATCTCTTGAGAATGGAACAAGTGTTGGACATTTCACTCAGAGCTAACAAGCATGGTTCCTAGGTAGGTGTTCTCTCACTCACCCACTTGTCTACTTGGGCTTATATATTTTTTCATGTAATGTTTCACCCTTTTAACTGATGGCCACCTTCCTCACTGAGGCCCTCAGGGCATCACAGATTCATCTAGGGAGACTTACAAAGCGAAAATTTATGCTTATGATTACTGTTTGGTTCCCAAGACTAATCATGTAAATTTTAAAAGCCAACAAAACCCCTGAGTCCTTTGGTCATGCTAAAAGTCCCAGAGGATAGCAGCCATCAGTTAAAGAGATAGTTAAGTTGAAACTAGAAAGGTGAATGCAGACCCAATCTATCCTCTTGTGGGGCTTTAGAACTTGAAGGACTTCAGAAAAAAAAAAAAATTAAAAAAAAGGTAGTTCTTTATGGGTTACAAGCTGAAGAGGGACTGTTTGCACAGTTTGGACAAAATAGAAGTACTCTTACCAATAAATATGTCTCAAAATGACAAATAAAGCTCTCCCCATTTGATGGCTCCAGATCCCGGCAAGAAGTGATGGGCACAGGCACTATGTACAGAGTGTAAACAGTAAGGCCCTTGGGACATAATGAGGGGCAGGGCCAGGTGATGTGGTATGCATGGAGGAGCCTCTGTAGGGGGAGCGAGTCCATGGGTAAATACAACAGGCTTGTAGGATGCTCATCCAATCTGCCACCAAAGCTTATTGGTGGTGGTGGCAGGTCCGCTGGGTTCCTCCAGTGGGCAGTAAGGAGAAACTGTGTCCATGGAAAAGCCCTGGTCCCACTGACTTTTTCCCTCGGGGAGGCACTGGGGACAGCCAGGCAGGGCCTCTGCGACCCTTCCTCCCCAAGAGGAGGGGCGGGCCTGCCTCGCCACACTTGAGGCTGTCTGTCCAGGGTTCAGGGCATGGATGGGGCAGTATTTCTCAAACAGAGATTGGGAGCAAATGGCCCCCCCGGAACCCGCAGCCCCTTCCTCCGAAAGGAGGAGCTCCAGGCACCTGTGTCCAGGAGGGGGCCACAACTTTTCCCCTTTCCAGGGCCCTACCCCCGCCTCAGTTCCTCAGGGAGGCCACAGAGCAGCCGCCCTGATCCGTGTCCGGGTCCCTGATCCGTGTCCGGGTCCCTGATCCGTGTCCGGGTCCCTGATCCGGCCCGGCCTCCTGAACAAAGCCGGCCTCCCTCACCGCCCTGCCCCCTTCCCCCACCGGCAGCCCCTTTCCTCCTCCCCCAGCACGCTCCCCGGCCTCGCTCGGGGTCCCTAAATATCAGTCTCCCGGAGGTTGCTGTCGTCGGCCAATTCGTAGGCCTGGCAGGTGGCGCCCTCGGCCACGTCGTGGGGGACTCCCAGGGACACGGCCTCCACCTCCGCCCGCAGGGTGCCGGCGGCCTCCGCGCGCTGCGCGCTCCCGGCGCGGATCTTGTGCGACAGGCTGGAGACCTTGGCGCGCAGCTGGGTGGTGGGTCTCCGGAACGGCCCGAGCAGCCTCCACTCGCGGAAGGCGCAGGGCGGCTTTCGACGACCGGCCGCGGGGGCCTGCGCCTCGGGCGTGCCGGGGGAACCGGGGGCCGAGGGCGCGGTGAGGGCCAGCGGGGCCCCCGGAGGCGCGGCGTCGTGGCCGGGAGCGAAGTCGGGGCGCGGGCCGCCGGTCGAGCCCCGCCAGTGGTGGCCGTAGACGCGCCAGAGGGGACGGCGGCGCCGGCGCCGCCGGCACTGACAGCGCAGCAGGCGGAGGAAGGCGCGCTTGAACTCGCGGCTGGAGCACGGGTAGATGAGCGGGTTCACGCAGCTGTTGAAGTAGCCGAGCCAGAAGATGACCTTGAAGACGCCCTCCGACGGCTTCAGCTGCGGGAACAGGGACCCTGCGGGGGGGCAGAGAGCCACGCCGGTTAGACGGCCGCTCGGGGAGAGGGAGGCCCGGGCAGCCCCTGGGCGCAAAGACCTCAACTAGGGGCCCAGTCGTCAACTCCGGGCTCTCAAGGTTCTCTCTCCCCAAGGGGTCCCTGATATCATTCGAGGGGTCCATGAACTTGGAGGAAAAATCATCATCTTCCATTTTACTCACAGCTACCTGATACTGTGCGTTTCCCCCAAGACGAGCGTCCGCAACAAACCCGAGTAGAAGGAGACAAAGCCATTTACGCAATCACGGTTCTTGTAGCTCAAAACTGGTGCCCGATTGGCAGTTTCCTACGACTCGACCTGATATGAGCAGGTCCTGCCAGATATTTTCCTGTCACATTCAGTTGTTGCAGATGCTTTGAAATACTGTCTATGCTGCTCACCATTTGGAAACGACAGACATAAGAACGCACCACTAGATCCTCCTATTTAATGCCTTAACCTAGAAGCACATTACTTACTAAGTCACAGATTTCGTTCACAAATATTTTGATGTTTTCCGCGAAATTGGTTTTATTTGCAATCCTTTGTATTTTAGTTTTAGCATTTGAAAGCGTAACTCCGAGAAGGGCTCCCATAAGCTTTGCCAGATGCCCAAGGACGTCGTTAGCACAAAAAGGGTAAGCACCTTTGAATTAAATGTTGACCAAGGCTTGCCCCGCGTCAGGCACTGTGCTGGGCTCACAGCAAACAGGGCCCCATTCCCTGAGTAGCTATGTGCATGAACTATCAAGGGAATGAAGACACGGATGCATGGGGACACGGATGGTAGTGCTCAGCATGTGGAGCGGGGGATTTCCAGGGTTCTCAGAGGATGGACAGGAGCCTGCCAGGATGAGGAGGGACAGAGGGTGTTAGAGGAGTGGAGGGGACGGGTGGGCAAGAGGAGTACAAGTTGGGGTTTTGGGAATGTCCTGTGCCATACGCCGAGAAAACATCATTTGGGACAGAAGGTGAAGGGCCTGAAATGCTGGGAATTCCCACATTTATTTGTGGGTAGTTGAGAGCCATGGATATTTTCAAGCAGGCGAGAGTCAGAGCCTAGAATTAAGTCTCAATAAACACAATGCCCATGGCTGTTGGAGTGAAGGTCTGCGGGGCTGTCCCAGTGGAAGTGGTTGGGGGGGCTTCTGGGGGTGGCTTTGTGGAGCAGAGTGCCAGGCAGGAGGGGGTGCGGGCACTAGGACCTGAGCTGTGTCAGAAAGACCCTCCTCCTCACACACTTCTCCCCTGGCATCCCCACCACCGACTTGGGGGGTCTTGTCCTCAAAAGGCACCTGACAAAATGCAAGGGCATGACCCAGAAAGCAAAAGCCACGCTTATTTGTTCTCACACCCTCAGCAACAGCTGGGGGTGGGGGGGGGAGGGAGGTGGCAGGAGCATCCCACCCCAGGCAAAAGTTGCAGGTGTCCGTGAGACTAAGCGGGCCAGGGGCAGGGGTCCTTGACAAATCATGGGCCCTGCTCTCTTCTCCCTTTGCCCCCAAAGAAATGAGAGCAGGGTCCCCTACTGTGGGGGCAGAGGCACCAGGCCCCCCCTTTGACCTGGGAGCACCTGCCCATCCCCCACCTCCCACCATATAGAGAAATCTCGGTGCCAAGACACACGGTGGCAGTGGCAGAAGGAGTCACCCAGCGTCACGAGGCACAGGCCTTCGAAACTGCGGTCATGCAGCCCTGAGCAAGTTAGTGAGCCATCCAAGTCTCACGCTTTCTGCGAAATCCAAAATTTCTCCGGAAAGGATGTTGTGAAGATTCATGCATTTCAGAGTGCAGGACTTCGCGGGCTCTTAATAAACACTGGCGTCTCTTTACTTCCCCTCTCCCTCTTCGGTGACTTTTGAGAGAGGACAACTCCACCCCGGGAAGAGACCCAGTTCCCAGCTCTGGAGAGTAGCCAGAAACAGAAGCCAAGACCTGGTGGGCTTGGGGGAGGCTGGGGCATCAGTCATCACATGCTGAGGAGGCAATTTCCCCTGGAAGAGGAGTTAGACAGTTGTCTTGGAATGTGGGGGCCACCAGGGTTGACTTCAGCCTCCAGGAAGGTGGCCCTCTGAATAGCATCCCTCAATGGTTGCAAAGTAAGACACGGTGCTGAAAATAACTCTGACTCAGGCCATAGTTCCTTTATATTTAGCCCAGGATGACAAATCAGTGGACTATTTCAGTTGCAAGCCTAAAGCTGGCCAAACAGCATCGTTATCAGCGTGGTTTTTACTCAGATTGGTGGGCGACACGGCATATTGTTAGTATGTCCTGGACCGTTTTATAAACACTATTCTATTTTATGCTCAAGCAACCTGTGCAGAAGCTTGCTACAGGCTGGGAATTCCTTACACACAAGACCTGGGATCCACACTCAGCCTTTCTGCCCCAAGATTTTCCTACTGTGTCCTCCTGAGGTTCTTGTCTTACTTTAAGCTCTCCCAGAGGCAGACCCTGAGACAAGGATTCAAGCGCAAGTCGCTCATTGTGGGCAACTGGGGCACAATCCCACTGGGAGCTCTGGGATACCATGAAGTTCAGGAACCTCGGAGCTGTCCCACCAGTGGGGTGAGGGAGGCGGGTATCTACACCCCCATTCCCATCAGTCACTGGATGGGCTACTCCCAGGGGTGTTAATTTCCCACGCTTCCTGCTGTGTGGGTGGATGATGAGGATTTGGGTGGGTGGAGAAAGGCCCTGGGCAAAGATGCGGGCAGGTGTTGGGATGGAAGTTGGCTGATGTGCCCTGAAGGTCCAAGGGGTGGCATGGAGGGGACACTGACAGCATCTGGCACTACTGTTTCATAAGCTCTCTGCCCACCATGCACAGACATCTTGCCTGGAAAATACACACGCCTGTGCGTGGGCTCCAGCTTCCACAGGCAACAGCACCTCTGTCCCCCCCAAAAGTGGCAGTTCCGAGCCTCACAGCTACCTCTGCCCAGAAGGCCGCAGTCTGCCCCCCAAGCCTCCCTGCACCCAGTCTCACTCTCCCTGCTGTCCTGCCCCCTCCCCAACCCTGTCTCATCAGTTCGAACCTCTGGCCAAGATCTCTGAGGTCCCAGGGGGGCTGTGAGCACGTCCCTGCCCTTTGCATGCATGGATGAAATGGGGAACTGCCCCGAGACCCCTGAGGATGGGCACTTGGCTCATGGGCATTGTCCCTGCAATGCCGCCCGGCTGTGGGGGCCTCGGTGGACAAGCCCCTTTCCGGCCACCCCAGCTTTCTGCTCCCCCAGCCACTCTGACTTGTGGCTACTCAGGCCAACCTCAGCTGTCTGCTTTCTCATCCCTCTGCAGCAGCCTGGCATACACCTGTGCCAGCCCCTGAGCCCAGCTACAGGAAAGCCTCAGTGAGCAGGTGGGGGCTCTGAGACAAGGCCACTGTCTCTCAGTGCCTGGCAGCCCCCTTTTCTGCCCCGACCTGCCTCCCTCTCCCACAGCCTTCCTTGCAGGCAGAGAGCCCAGCCCTGCGGACTCAACTTGGCAACTGTCACTGGAAACACAGGCCTGTGTGGGACCCCCTCCCTCAGCCTCCCACCGCTCCGTACTGGCGCCCAGCATCACATCCTTGCTCTCCTTTCTCTTATGGCTCCCGCTTCCCGCAACAGTCTTACTTCTGTCTTCCTGTGCGTCAGCTGAATGGCCACGCTGACTTCTTGCTGCCCTCTGGCCGCAGTGGGCTCCCCAGGCTTGCCTGGGAGCTTTTGCTCCTGCTCATCCTGGATTGCCCTTCCTCTTTCCTCTCCCTGTTGGTGCCAGCTCCAGAGACACCTCCACCTGGAAGCCCTCCTCATACCACCCCTCCCAACCCTGCAGTTAGGGGTACCCTCCCTATAGCACATCTTCTCATTTCCAAGTGCCAAGAACATGGCAGGCGACTATCAATTTCCTGTCTATCTTCTTTTTAAAAAATATATTTATGTATTTAAGTAATCTGTATATCCAACGTGGGGCTCGAACTCATGACTCTGAGATCAAGAGTCAAATGCTCCTCCCAGCTGAGCCAGCCAGGCACCCCATGTCTATCTCATCTTTAAAGGGTAAGCCCTCCACATGTACTTGGCACATCATTGGTGCTTCATACATTCCAGTGCTCGCTTCAGCGGCACATATACTAAAATTGGTGCTTCATACATTCCAACCGCTCTGTCACACCCTGCATCCCATCCATCACCAACTCCTATTGGTCCTAGAATCCCCCCCACTTTGTGCCACCCCCTGGTCTCAGCTACTATCATCATCTACCCAAAGTGCTCTTCTAAGTGGACCCCTTGCACCTGTCCCTGTGCCCCTGCACCTTTTTCTCCATGCAGCAGCTGGGGGGAATCCTTTTATTTATTATTATTTTTTTTAAAAGATTTATTCATTTATCTTAGAGAGAGGAAGAGAGAGCACGAGTGAGTGCAGGGAGGGGCAGGAGGAGAGAATCTCCAAGCAGACTTCCTGCTGAGCTTGGAGCTGACATGGGGCAATCCCACCACCCATGAGACCACAACCCAAGCTGAAATCGAGAGTCAGACGCCCAACCAACTAAGCCACCTAGGCATCCTGGGGGATCCTTTTATTTTTTATTTTTTAGATTTTATTTTTTTATTTGATAGAGACACAGCGAGAGAGGGAACACAAGCAGGGGGAGTGGGAGAGGGAGAAGCGGGCTTCCCACTAAGCAGGGAGCCCACCCCATGTGGGGCTCGATCCTGGGGGATCCTGTTAGAAGAAAACCTGAGCATTTCATTTCTTCACTTAAAACCCGTTTTCCACTGCTGGCTGCAGCTTCTTGGCCTCTCTTTCTTATCTGTACTTTGACCTTCTGCCAGCGCCTTGGATTTCTCCTATCATCCCTGCTTAGCTGAGACTGCTACTAGTCACTCACACCTCCCATGTCCCCTCCTCAATCCTCCCATGTCCACATCCTTCTGGATTTGGGTTGTACCTATTCATCCAGACTAGAACTGCGGAGCGATTCACCCAC